GGAGGCGAGGCGAGGCCCGGAGTGGGGGTGACAGACATCTAGGCCCGGAGGCTCTTCATCGGTTCTCCAGTAGAAGCCTCTCCTCAGCTCCTTTTTGCTTGAATAAGATGGCTTGCTTGTGAACCCTGCATTGCTTCCAGGTGTGAAGATACAGCACTGCCGTTAGTCCCGTTGTTCACGGGAGAACGTGATAGGTTTGGGGATTGAAAAACTCGTGACATCGAGATAATATGTCAAGAATACTGCATGTTGTGTTGTTATGTTTGGTCTTTTAATTATCTTTCTAGAAATGGAATTTCCTTCTTCTTTCACCAGTACTGAAAGAGCATTTGTTCACCGTCTTTGTCAGTCTCTTGGACTGATATCTAAAAGTAAAGGGTAAGTTGGAGTCTGATTTTTATTTATTGTTTTCTTTTTTTGGTGCAAATATATGGAATTTCATGACTAGCATTAAAATGATCTGTGTTTTTAGCATATCCTGCACTGGTGCAGGGAATAATACTAGAGAAAAAAGTAAGATAAAAATAAGTGTGCTTTGCTTTATGTCTACTTAAAAAAACTTACGACTTGCTTAGTTTGAGATAGCTTGTCCTTATACTGTTTTGTGGATTTCATGGGTCCATAAAAAAGACCTCTCACCCAGATCTGTTCTGTTTTTCATGCACTATTGTGTGCCCGAGGGTTTTGCGTAGAATCTCATATCTTGACAGATAAAATGTAACCTAGAGCAGCATGTCCAAAAGAGTGCTTCTGTTGAGAAGTGCAGGAGAAGAAGGTTCATATGCAGGTACAATGATGTTTGTTTCTCTTACCCTGCTCTGATCTTTTGAAGGGAAAACCCATGTTCGTTGACCTGATGAGCTTGTGTGAAAGCTGAGAATCTGGTTGCCTTGGGAGTTGAGGTGGCAAAGCAACTGGAAAGGGAAAGTTGCAGGAAAAACCCAGATAGATGGAGTGTCATGTATAACTTGTGTGCGCGTGGACTGTTGTAAAGCTGTAGCAGCATTTGCTGTTCCTCATTTTTGGTGATACTTCATGATTCTTGCAAAAGCAGTGTAAAATGCTATTTCTCTGGTCTATACTTAATTACGGAGTAAGTGCTATTTAGCACTGATTGTGTTGAATGTGTAGCTTGGTTTCAGAAGATCTTATTCAAGCACAGTTCTGTTCAAGTGAAGCTATGCTTCCAATGTGGTTCCAGTCTCGGGAGTGGTATAGCTGATTTTTGCCACAGATGCCTGAGACAATAAATGTGGCTAAACTTGTGTATCTTTGCATCATATTTTGGGAACATGGAGTGTTAGAAAGCCTTGTCAGATGTGCGCAAGTGGTTAGCAGGAACGTGGTTGGGTTGTATGGTGCCTGTGCTTAACTGTAACTGGTAAACCCTGCTTGAATCCTTGTTGATTCTTTGTAGAGCTTTGTAAGTATCTCTGAGTGGCTGCCTAATAGATTCTCTGGTATTTTTGGTAGTTGTTTTCATAGAATCATAGAATATCTCAAGTTGGAAGCGACCCATAAGGATCATCGAGACCAACCCTCTGCTCCTTACAGGACTACCTAAAACTAAACCCTGTGACTAGGAGCATCATCCAGACACTCCTTGAACTCTGACAGGCTTGGTGCCATGACCACTTCCCTGGGGAGCCTGTTCCACTGACCCACCACCCTCTCAGTGAGGAACCTTTTCCTAATGTCCAGTCTGAACTTCCCCTGACGTAGCTTCATTCCGTTTCCTTGTGTCCTGTTGCTTGTCACCAGAGAGAGCAGATCAGCATCTCCCCCTCCACTGCGCCCCCCGAGGAAGGTGTAGACTGCGATGGGGTCACCCTCAGCCTTCTCTTCTCCAAGCTGAACAAGCCAAGTACCTCAGCCCCTTTTCCTAAGTCTTGCCCTCAAGGCCTTTCACCATCCTTGTCACCCTCCTCTGGACACACTCCAACACACACTGTTGAATACTTACAGAAAACTTATTATAAGCTTTTCATAGCTAGTATGCCTCTAGACATTTAGTAGTGTAGTATATTGGGTCTGGCTGGGATGGAATTAACATTCCCCACGGCAGCCTTTGTAGTGCAGTGCTTTGCATTTGTAACCAGAACAGTGTTGATAACACACCAGTGCTTTGGCTACTGCTGAGCAGTGCTCACACAGCATCAGGGCTGTCTCTCAAGCTCCCCCGCTAACCCCCGATTAGGAGGAGTGTTGCCAGCAGGTCGAGGGAGGTGATCCTTCCCCTTTACTCAGCACTGGTGAGCTATACCTGGAGAGCTGTGTCCAGCGCTGGGAACACCAGTAGGAGAGAGACATGGACACGCTGGAGAGAGTTCAGTGAAGGGCCAACAAGATGATGAAGAACTGGAGCATCTCTCCTAAGAGGAAAGGCTGAGAGAGCTGGGACTGTTCAGCCTGGAGAAGAGAAGGTGGGGTGTCTTATCAACGTATATAAATACCTGCAGGGAGGATGCAAAGAGGACAGAGCCAGGCTCGTTTCAGTGGTGCCTAGTGCCAGGACCAAGCACTGACACGTTGCCCAGAGAGGTTGTGGAGTCTCCCTCCTTGGAGATACTCAAAAGCCGTCTGGGAATGGTCCTGGGCAACTGGCTCTATGTGACCCTGCTTGAGCAGGGGTTTGGGCCAGATGACCTCGAGAGGTCCCTTCAAATCGCAATGGTTCTGTAGTTCGAGGTTGCTGAGATACAAACTACTGAAGACTGGGAGCATAGTCGTGGGAAGCATTGCGGTTTTTCCAATTCTGCCAACCTTTCTCTGGAACTCACATTCAAATACTCTTTCAGCTTCAGTATTTTTGCTGTTCTGAAATGTTATCTTGCATTGACCAGGAGCTGAACCCAAGCCAACAACTTAGAAAGCAGCCATGTTGTGGTTGGGTTGACCTTGACTGACTGCCAGGTGCCTAGCCAGCTTGGTCTGTCACTCCCCCTCCTGAACAGGGGAGAAAATAGCATGGGGTCTTTCCCACAGGCTGAAGTTCCTTCAGGATAAACCTGCCTCACTGAGGTCTCTTCCATGGGCTTCAGGCGAATCTCTCCTCCAGCACCTGGAGCACCTCCTCTCCCTCCTTCTTCACTGACCTTAGTGTCTGCAGGGCTGTTTCTCCCACATTTTTCTCGCTCCTTTCTCTCACAGCTAATGTGCAGTGTTTTTTCCCTTTCTTAAATACAATATTACAGAGTCACCACCATTGCATCTCACTGCCCTGCAGTGAGTCTGTGGGAGCTGGCTGTGTGCGGCATGGGGCAGCCCCGGCTGCTCCTCACAGAGGCCACCCCTGCCAGCACTTGAGTATCTGCACCCCATACACAGGCACCACTATACCACCCCGCCAGGGACGGGGCACTGGGCTCTTAGTGTGACCTTCTGTTCTTATCCTGAGAAGTCATTTTCAAAGTGTTGATATGTCATTGCAGCCCAGGCACAAGACAGTTCAGTTTCAAACATATTTACAACAGTTCTTTGCATTTCAGTGTCAAAGTTAAGTCTTGAGAACAAATGCAGTGTTATGATTAAGTGTTTTGGCTCTAATTCTACATTGTAAATATTTGATAATGAACATCCTGGAAATCTGATTTGTTTTACTGGATTTCCTTAAGGCTTGGAGTATCACTAGAAGGCTGCTTGTTTGTCTGTTATGTCTATTTGTTGATTTTTAACGTCTAAGTCTCTTAAATTAGTCTAGAAATCAGTTTTGTGTAATACCTCTCAGTATTGATTGATAGAATGATTGATGGAGCTGGCTGTCTTTTGGGAACAGCCAAGTTTTTTTGGGAAGCAAATGCAGTGATAGACCTTTAAAAGAAGGATAGCAGAACAGTGTTACATTATGGAGGCCTAATTGTAGTGTTGTGCTGGGCGTAGTCATCCGAAGTCTGCAGTAGCCGTGCTGCACTACCTCATGTGAATAGAGGGTGGTTTTGATAGTGGATATTCTGTTATTTTTGTGTGCATTATGCTACATAGGATGTTATTTGGAAGTTTCTAGTTACGACATTATATTTGAAAACAATCTGACAGCCATTTTGAAAGAATTATGGTGGAAGATCATTACATAGAGGTAAATAGGTTACTTATTCCTAAAATACCTTTTTCCCCCCTCCCCCCTCCCAGAAAAGGAGCAAATCGATACCTGACTGTAAGGAAGAAGGATGGATCGGAACTGACACATGCAGTAATGACTTGTTGCTTGGCTCCCAGTACGAAACATGCTGTTCGGAGTTTAATTCAGAGATTTCCTGTCACAAATAAAGAACGAACAGAACTTCTGCCAAAGACAGAGCGAGGAAATGCATGTGCTGTTGAATCTGGTATGTTCAGCGTGTCTTCTGATATGGACTTGTGGATCAACGCTGCTTAAAAAAAAAAAACAATCCACAACCCAACCACAAAACAAAAACGTTTCTTTTCTGTCTCGTCTCCCATCTCAACTGACACCCTCCCCCCCCAAACAAACCCATTAATTTTCTTGACTTTTAATTGTTAGTATAGGGTCTTTTAAAGCTGGTGTCGTGAGGAACTTAGTCAGTCATGTCACCCACATTCCATTGTCTCCCTTGTGCCAAGTTACTTTTGAATCTTTGAGCCAGTTCCAACCGAATTTATTTGGAAGTACATTTCTGAAATGTGATTTCCTACAAATTCCATGAGGTGAGATTGAAGGGAGAAGTGTTACCATGACTGCCGTATAAGAACACCCATATGAGAAAATGAGGGTGGCTGTTCTGCGTATAGAAATTCATGTTCTTGATAAAATAAGAAGTTTATTTTTTGTTTCTCATCTTTTAAAATAGATTGGGCCCCTAAGAGACTACTGTCTAAACTTCGTGATTTCTAGAATATGAAAGAGTTCACTGGAAGACAAACTTCTGATATATTGTGTTGTTTTTTTTTTTAAACAATGCTTTTAACAAGATTATTGCTTTAAAAGTTACGAGTGTAAGAGTTATGTTGTGTTTCTGTGTACAAAGCTGGGTGTAATGCACAAGAAACACTTGTACCAGTACGCCTTGTTTCATTGGATATCTCTGATTTATAATGGTTCATGCTTTAAGTGCTTCCTTTGCTAGTTTTCTTTTTCAATTGTTTCAGTTGTTTTATAGGATTTTTTAATGAACAGAGGGAAACTATAATAAAAGTACTGAAAATCAATTCCTTAGGAATGTAAGGCATAAGCCAATGAACAGTGTAAAATTTATCTTTCTTTACTTCTCCAGAATAGTTTTTGGCTCTTTTAATCTGTTAGCCTGTGTCTGTCTTGGTAAGACAGTGCTTGTAATTTAATATATTAATCTGTTAATCACATTAAATATGTATAATTGAATTTACAGCAAGCTTTTCATTCCTCTGGAAAATAATTATTAAGGAATTATAGAATAGCATTTACAGCACTGAATTTGAAGTAGTCTCCTTTGAAGACATGCAGGTTCTTTGGCTACTTATGCATTGCTTTCTAATACATCACACTGTGTTGTGTGGGTCCATGGGTCTAGATACAGCATGGTTCAATTTGTGTGATTTAAGACAAATCTTAGGACTACAGCATTAGGTTATGTAAGGTTGACTGAAAGGAGGTCATAAAAGACCAGGGAGGATGTGGCATATGAATCACAGTAAAGTTATCTTTTTCTCAGAAGACGTGCTTGTCAGTTTGGAGTAACTTAAAGGTTTAACTTACACATTACAGTGAATATTTCTAGGCGAACTGTGGAGGTGTGAATGTGTAAACATGATACAAAGGCCAAGAAATTATGCCAGGCAGGCTGCTTTTCTCAGGTTTAGTTTCTATTTCTCTTTGCTCTTCATGGCCTTTTTTGACTTTGCGCAATGCACTGGAATAGTCTGTTTTTGTTCAATGAAAGTAATGTCTATGAAGGTAATAGCCCCTTAGAACAACATTTATTTCAAGGACTGTAACAGGATGCGTTACTATGAATATGGCTTTTAAATGTGTGATGGGTTTGTAACTTCATCTGTAGGGATGCATATAAAGTCAGGAATGTTCATTTTTATGTATGACTTTTAAGCAATGTTTTAGTGACCTTCTTTTGTATCTGTTTAAGTAAATTGTTAACTCTTCTTCACAGAAAACAGAGAAGTGAACAAGACAAGTGGACGACTTAACAATGGTATCCCGCAAGTTCCAGTGAAAAGAGGAGAATCAGAGTTTGATTCCTTCAGGCAATCCCTACCAGTTTTTGAAAAACAGGAAGAAATTGTCAAAATAATAAAGGACAATAAAGTTGTTTTGATTGTAGGAGAGACTGGATCAGGAAAAACTACTCAAGTATGTTTCTATAATGAAATAAAAAAGATAACAGTATTTATACAAAACCAATGCCAATTTTGTAATATTTATGTAATAAGGGATTTCTTTATGCTCGTTTTAAGGCTTTTGTTTTCCTATATAGTCAAAAGTCTTGTGTTCTAATTCAATTTCTTGCTTTTGAAATACTAAGCCAGCAGATACTTACTAAAAGCCTAAATGGTTCTGCACAGTCTTCTCATAGATACTAGTTTTTTGTTAAAATAATATAAAATATTGAAGGGCAAGTAGCTCTGATTTTGTATAGCCCTTTTCCTTCTAAAGCTTTTTCTGTTCTTAGTATCTAGAGTAGAATATTATTGTGTTAAAGTGAAAGATTAGTATGGTTTTTTTTTTAATAGATTTCTCTGAAGCAGGAGAGAGAAGCTTCAACTTTTTTTTTTAAACAGATTAAACTTAAAATCAGAAATTTGTTTTTGCTGCCTTTCTGCCCCTTCAAGTATGTTTGCAATCATAATCCTATTGTGAATCCTTTTGCAACCTGTGTAATATTGAGACACAATTAAATTGTTTCACTGTGGTAAAAAAGCTATGACTTTTTCAAACTAAAAAGTAAATTTAAACCACTTCTTTACAGATTCCTCAGTTCCTCCTTGATGACTGCTACAAAAATGGAACTCCCTGTCGTATATTTTGCACTCAGCCAAGACGTTTGGCAGCTGTTGCTGTGGCTGAAAGAGTGGCAGCAGAAAGAAGAGAAAAGATTGGCCAGACAATTGGTTATCAGATCCGATTAGAAAGCAGGTACTGATGATATTTCTTAAAGTCAATTGATCTTGTGTTGGTATCTTTAGTCTTGTGTACATTTAAACTACAGTATATTTGGGATACAGCCTCGTAAAAGTTCAGTATGTAAAGTATAGGTAGGATATGTAATTTCACGTAATGGAATATTTAAGAGTGAAAAGGACAGTTTTGCTCCTGTATTTTCCAGTTTTGTGTACTAAGTTGTCTTACATAAGTGAATTGCAGGTGCTTTCTCTTGACTTCTTCTTGGGTGTATGTGGAATTCCTTGTCTTATTTTCAAATCAAGTCTACACTTTCCTCTCATTTTTTCTCCCTACTTTTAACATGTATAGATCCAAAAGTTCTGCAAGCTTTGAATATAAGTAGGAAGACCAGCATACTGTAACAATTGCTATATACTGAGTTGATAGGGGATGTAAAAGGAAAAAAAGTAAAATTTGAAAGTGAATAATGAAATTGAGCATTATTTACCAATCTAGTTTGGGTTAAACTTACTCTGTTTCAGCTTTTATGTTTAAAGCATGAAGTGATACAAAAGCAGAGATTTCTAGGTCACCTGAGGAATTTGTTCCTAAAGCAGAGCGGGAATGGATGAAAGTCTGAAGGTTGTGTGTGGTTTCTAGATTCTTTGAACCGTATAGATGGTGGGATTTCCAGGAATGGGCAGCAGGTGGGTTATGAGTGAGAAGAAGATGGCAAAATGTATAGCTGGTTGTGTTGCTTGTATGGATGAAGATATCACATAGCTAATGAACATGAATGCACGTGAACAACAAAGCAAAGTTAAAGAAGGATTGGAATATGTGTACAAAGGCTATTAAGGGATTAAAAGAGCTAGTAAAGATGAATTGCAAATAAGGTGGATGATTAATGTGTGGAAGTATTATGCTGGTTGAAGGAGAACAAAGTATAGGTCAGATCAAAGTGCAAGAATTACTGGAAGCAGTGCAGAAAATCCTGCTTAAGAAGAATCAATAGATTCACTCAAGAGGAAGAGCAAAAGGGAGAGATGCCAATATGTCCAACTCTGGGCAAAAAAGATGCGGGGTGGAGGTGTTTACAGTAACACAGGAGACTTAAATTTTTAAGTTTTATTAACTGTTAGACAGCAATGATGATTTCTAGAAGGCTGCTGAACGAGAGAGAAGAGTCGAGATGGGGAAAGTAAAGCATTTCCATCTTGGATATGTTCCTTGAATTTAATATGTAGGAGGATTTTTGAAAGGAGGGATGAATTCCAAACTTGGGAAGAAATATGCCTATGATAACTAGTGAGTTCATGTCTTCCGGAAAAGAACTGTAGAGTACTACATAAAGGAACTTTTCAGTACTTAAGGTGGCAGTGCTGGAGAAAGTAGTGTCAATCGCTGTTTTTACTTGCACAGCTAACTCTGCCACAGGTACTAGCATAATAACTTTTAAAGATTTTGAAATTCTTGAAGAGAAAACTTAAAGCATTTGAAAGAATCAGCTGATTTCTTTGTGATTCAGTCAAGTATAGTGTATTGGGTTTGTGTGGCAAGGTTTTGGTAGCGGAGGGGCTACGGGGGCGGCTTCCGTGAGAAGCTGCTAGAAGCTTCCCCCATATCTGATAGAGCCAATGCCAGCCAGCTCCAAGATGGACCCGCCACTGGCCAAGGCTGAGCCCATCGGCAACGGTGGTAGTGCCTTTGTGATAACGTATTTAAGAAGGGAGAAAAAAACTGCATGACACCAGCAGCAGTCAGAAGAGAGACGAGTGAGAATATGTGAGAGAAACAACTCTGCAGACTCTGAGGTCAGCAAAGAAAGAGGGGGAGCAGGTGCTCCAGGCGCTGCAGCAGAGATTCCCCTGCAGCCCGTGGTGAAGACCATGGTGAGGCAGGCTGTCCCCTGCAGCCCAAGGAGGTTAATGATGGAGCAGCCCATGGAGGACCCCACAATGGAGCAGGTGGATGCCCAAAGAAGGCTGTGACCCTGTGGGAAGCCCGTGCTGGAGCAGGCTCCTGGCAGGACCTGTGGGCCCATGGAGAGAGGAGCCCACGCTGGAGCAGGTTTTCTGGCAGGACTTGTAACCCTTAAGGACTGCACCCTGTGGAAAGGACCCATCCTGGAGCAGTTTGTGAAGAACTGTAGCCCGTGGGAAGGACTCTTGTTGGAGAAGTTCGTGGAGGACTCTCCCGTGGGAGGGACCCCACGCTGGAGCAGGGGAAGGGTGTGAGGAGTCCTCCCCCTGAGGAGGAAAAAGTGGCAGAGACAACGTGTGATGAACTGACCGCAACCCCCATCCCTGTCCCCCTGCGCCACGCGGAGGGAGGAGGTAGAGAAATTGCAACTAAAGTTAAGCCCGGGAAGAAGGGAGGAGTGGGGGGGAAGGTGTTTTAAGATTTAGTTTTTATTTTCTCATTATCCTACTCTGATTTGATTGGTAATAAATTAAACTAATTTCCCCAAGTTGAGTCTGTTTTGCCCGTGACATGAGTGATCTCTCCCTGTCCTTATCTCCACCCATGAGCCTTTCGTTATATTTTCTCTCCACTGTCCAGCTGAGGAGGGGACTGATACAGTGGCTTGGTGGGCACCTGGCATCCAGCCAGGATCAACCCATCACATACAGGCAAATACAAAAGCTATATCCAAGCATATGCTGAAGAATTGGAGCCTGTTTTTCCAAAGCAGTCCACACTGAATTTTCCAGTAAATTAAACAACATGGAGAGGTTCTCCAGGTTCTGTTTCATTTGGTTGTTTATTTATATAAGTTTGAATCTCACTTTGTTAATTAATCCATTGTCTGAAGTCTTGGAGCATAAGCACTGGGATTCCTTAGGAACTCTCTGGGAATAGGCATAGTTTAAAACCAAATAGTATGCATGAATTCTTTGGTGAGAGTACTGTAATCTAATTCCACTTCTGGTGAGCAGCTGTTCAATTCTTTAATTTTCAGTAGGTAGTGAAAAGCTAGCAGCATTTAAATAGTGCAAAATACTGAACTATCTTTATGAACTGTTCAATAGGGTTTCTCCAAAGACACTGTTAACATTTTGCACTAACGGCATACTGCTTCGTACGCTAATGGCAGGAGACAGCACTCTATCAACTGTGACACATGTTATTGTGGTAAGAATCCTGTTGTATTTCATGTGAGGTGGAGCAGTATGTATTACTTGTTGATTTGAAGATGAGATCCTAGTTTTCTTTATTAATTTGCTAAGCATTTTTGTTTGGTTAGAATCTGAATTAGGATTAAAGACTTACTGAGTCTTTATTGTAGCATGTACCTTTTTTTTTTTTTTTGGTAAAAATATAGAATTGTCTTATTTTAATATAAAATTAATTTTGGAATCATGATGCAGTTGTGGAGGACAGAGCTCCAAATTTTTCCAAACTTTCTGTGTCAGAAAGCAGAAAAGTCTTAGGGAGGCTTATGTAGATATGATTCAATGTGTGTGTCAGAATTTCTTATATCATGTACTTGTTTTAGCAATACCAGGTTTGCAGTCCATTTGTTTGCCCAAATGTTTTCAAGATAATGTAAATATCAGTAAATTATTTAAGTGTGTTAGTTTATGATTACGTGAATATTCCTATTGTGGAGTTTGATAAGTCAGTGGAACCAGAGTGTTTAGCGCAAGGTTAAGTTCTCCGCTGCTGAAGACAGAAAAATTCATGATAATTTTAGGTGCCTGCCTGTTTATCAAAATGGGAAAAGGTGTGAGAATGACTTGTACGTTCTTGACTTCAGCCTAAAAATGTTGTATTTGGGTCTCTGCTTCATAAATTCATAATATAAAACAGAAGAACACACCAACAAAGATGATTAATCAGTCATGTGCCTTAATTGATGATAAGCTTTGTGCATGACTTAATGGATCTAAGCAGTCTAACTTTTATGTGGGACTTAATGGATCTAAGCAGTCTAACTTTTATGTGGTATCATACATTTCTTTAAATGTTCATCAATTGTGAAGTGAGAATTTATTTTAATAAGATTTGTAGGATTTGCGGTTTGTGTCATTATCTTGAAAATGAGATTCAAATAATTAGAAAAGTTTCAGGAGTTCCCTTTAACCTCTGAAATCAAGGTATATGTGGCCTGTGCGTTACCAGTGCAGTCTGCTCTGATATCTTTGTAAAACTTTGAAATATTTTTTTTACTTCATATAGTTTTAAAAAAAATCCTTACTTAAATTAGACTTACCAGCAAATTATATATTTTAGTCTTTAAAAAAGTTCATATTTGTGAAAAGTTATAATCTTGGATCTGTGATGTTTATCTGGTGTTTTTTTTTTTTTTTCCCTTTTGTTATAGGATGAAGTACATGAGAGGGATAGGTTCAGTGACTTCTTGTTAATAAAACTGAGAGATGTGTTGCAAAAACAGACTAATTTAAAACTAATTATTTCTAGTGCTGCTCTAGATGCAAATCTCTTTATTAGGTATTTTGGAAGTTGCCCAGTAATACACAGTAAGTATTTATGTAAACTCTTAAATCTGAGTATAACTGCCCTAGGACTTACAGGTTTTACTAAATTGTAGCAAATCATTCTGAGTAAGGGAACATGATAAATACACTGAGAGTTACAACAATGCTTGTTCTTTGTTCATTTTTGTTGTTTCTTAACTATTTGCACCTACTTCAGAGTGAAGTGTTCTGGTCACTTCAGAAATATAGTCCTACGCAAATTGGGTTTTCATGTTTTAATCGCATGATTCTTTATTTTAAAGGAAATGATTAGCTGTTAATCTGGGTAAACATTGAGAAAAGACATGGCAATTTATGTTAATTTATGTTCAGACTCAGTAACCTGCAGTTAGATTACATTCAAATGCAAAGAAATGTTATCATTATTGCTGTTTTAACTTCATTTGACTGATCTTTAGTAGAGGTAAAACATATATGTATGGGAGATGCTTTCCCTTCCCGCCCCCGCCTTTTTTCCTTCCTTTCACCCTCCTGGCTTGCAAGTTTTCTACATGGGTGATCTCCTCTGGCACCTTGCGGTCCCCTTCTTTTTTCAACGATGTCTAAATATAACGTGTTTTGAAAGGAAGCTTTTAAGAGAAATGCTTTCTTTTCAAAACAATCAAATAGACTGTCTGCATGTCAGCCTTTTTTTAAGAAGCTCGTCAGTCCCAGGACATGTATAGGATCACGTTCTTTAGAATCTTCTCTACAAATCATTGGTTTATTTTAGTGAATGTTCCTGAAAATGAAATCTATTTTTTCTACAGGTAGAAGTGTTTCGTTCCCAGCTCTGAATTTCTGCCTAGTAAAATAAGGCTTGCAACTTGTTGGAGGCAGGAGTCTGGAAATTACACATGATTTCAGTATTTTCCAATTTTTGTTTGGAGAGGGGAAACCTCAATTATAATTGTGCAGCTTTCCAGTTTAGTCTTCTTGTAGCTTCCTGTTCATTTAGATCAATATGTTTATTCTGGAAAATCTGATGACAATCTTTCTCCAGTTTACCTTAGTCATTATACTGTTATCACACACTGGTCTTCACAAGCTAATCACAATTGAAAAGATGTTTTCCTTTTCCTATTTTTGAGAATTTAAGAATTAAAAGAAGAGAGTTTAGATACTTTGTCTATTAATGCCATGAAAAAGATCTGATCCTCCTTCAGCAATATAGCTGACAAAATCCTGACCACAGAAACCAACGTTTTGTAGTTGTGGGTTCCTGTAGTACACAGAGTTTGTGATCAGTGTTGGAAGACTTCCTCCATGACAGCTTCTAAAAGTATGTGAATTGTAGCTTGTTCTTTCTGAAGAAAAGTCCTAGGTGATTTAAAGTTAGCTATGGCAAGTGTCTGCTAAGGGACCAGAAATTAAAATCTAGAGATTTTAGTTCTTCCTGTGAAAAAGAATCCTTCAATGTCCATAAATAAGGTCTAGAAAACAGTGATATTGAAAAAGAAATCAGGGTAAATTATTAGGAAATAAAGACCATTGGAATATCTCATTCATCAGGAAGTATTCAGTAAAGAAAGCCAAGTTTGGCTGAAGTGATTGAGGATATTGAGAGAAGTCCATCTCCTCATATACTTCTCAGGAAAAAAAAGTAGTTTAGTACAAAGATGGCAATCTGCTTGTGGGATCTTGCTGTATTAATTGCTGTTATATTTTGTAATCCAGGTGTCAGTCTTACACACTGAATTCATTTTGGTAACCCTAAACAAAAATGGCTATTTTCTTTTTCTTATTTTGATAAAATTGCAATTAATAACTGTCAATCCTATGAGCATCCCTTGCTATAACACTTAATAGAATTGAAGAGGTTAATGAGCAACAAGGTACCCAGCTGGCATTTCCCTTTTGAAATGATGTTTTGTTTTGTGGCCCAGTAATCTTAAGAAAATAAACTCCAGTGAAGATACTTTTACAAGAGATTTCAAGGAAAGTAATAATTCCTTAAATCAGGCCCTAATAATGTTTAATTCACTTTTTGTGTCTACAAAAATGCTTTTTTAAAATGAAGATTATGAATGAAGCTAGGGAATATCGAACATTTTATGAATTATTTATACTTTCAGTACAAGGAAGACCTTTTGAAGTTAAAGAGATGTTTTTGGAGGACATTTTACGAAGCACTGGGTATACAAACAAGGAGATGGTAAAGTACAAAAAAGAGAAGCAGCGAGGTTGGTGGATTTCTTAATTGTTAGGGTTGGCAATGAGTGTCCTTGATTGATTGAACAATTAAATAGGGTGATTCTCTGTTGAAATTCCAAAGTCAGAATATTAAATGAGACATGATCTTTAGCAAGTGTCTTTAAGCTCTCAGTGTTTAAATTATTGAAGTAGATTATGTAACTTTAAAAAAAAAAACAAACAACTTTCACTTTCTTTCAATGGTTGCATTCTTCTTGCTTTCAGTTGATAAATGTTATACTTTTCCTAATTATTACGGAGTAGAATTGCATATAATTGGGGGCTTTGCCCACATGAAAGATATAGAAGCAGAAGATACTCTGTGCTGACTTCTGGGTGCAACTAAAGTGCAGCCGTTAAAGAGGGCAGGATTTTGTATATCTTGCACAGAAGTGATTCCTGTTAGTAACATTTTTCACTGCATTCTTCAGACATGGATGCATTTAATATATATAGCCCAGAAGTGTTACCACACTTGAACTTAATATAGTTGTTTTTCAGTTAAGTAGATACATTATTTGAGAAGTTTTCCTGACAACTGATCCTAGTGTGTATTTTAAAAAAAAAAAAAAGGCAAAACCCAAAGCTATAATGTACAATCCTAACTGTACGTTTATCGTCGTGCTCAGCTCTGATCACTGTGGATAGAAAAGTTCAGTTAAGGCACTGGTGTCTTCTACTGTTCCTTCTACTTGTACACAAAAATCAGTTGTTACATGCAGGAATTATATCACTTCTCTTCAGTATTTCACTTCTGGAGAAAGATCTGGTCTGAGAATTGTGTAGAAAATATTTACTTAGGAAGCTCCTTTGAATGCAGTAAGTTGGAATACTGGAGATTTAGGGTGTTAAGCACCCAAATAGTATTTTTTACCTTGTTCTTATAGCAGATGTTTGCAATGGTGCATTTTGGATGCCCTTAATCATGGAATTTATATTGGACTGATAACAGCATTCTAAATTAAATAGAAGAGATTGAATAGGTAAAACTTTGTGACTTGATGTAACTATTATTTGTAATTGAAAACAATGGATAATTAAGACAACTGTAAAACTTTTTTTGGAAATACTTTATGCATTCTAGAAGAAAAACAGCAAAGCACTCTTACTGAGTGGTGTTCTGCTCGAGAAAATAATAGCAAACTGGAATCTCAGAGACAAAGATCTGTCCCAAGTGCAACTGAAGAGTATAATCTGTTGGATGATGGTGGTGACGCAGTATTTAATCAACTGGTAAGTTTCTCCTTTTGTTGAAGAGATGTTTGAATCTGCGTTATATTACTCTATCCAGTTAAAAACTGTTTTCTAAAGATACTACTCCTGTAGAGTTTCTAGAAGGATATTAATGTATTTTAAAACATGATTTTTTTTTTTTTAATTAGCATGAACTACTCTAGCTAAAGTGTGATTTCAGTTATGGTGGTGGTACGTAACTTTTGTTTAGATCAAATGGCTAGACTGCCATTGTTTAAAGTGCTTGCATATGATACAATAAATGCTTTAACTGATATCTGAATGCTGTATTTCTGATCGTTACTTGGAAAACTGACTGTACAAATTCTTTGTGTCTAATATATGAGAATAAAGACAACTCTTTGAAGAGATTAATCTTTCAATACTGTTTTTTCTCTTCAGACTGAAAAAGATGTGAATTGCCTTGAACCATGGCTAATAAAAGAAATGGATTCTTGTCTTTCTGACATCTGGTTGCATAAAGATATTGATTCCTTTGCTCAGGTGTTCCATCTCATTCTAACTGAAAATGTCAGTGGTAAGTTTCTCATCTTATTACATAAGAAAAAAACAACCACAAAATAACCTGAATTTCTGTGGCCACTTTATCTCCAATTTCACATGGTGTTATCTTTGAATTCTGATGCTTATTGAAAAAATGAATAGAGTTAGCAGAATTAATGACTTCTGTAGTTATTTGTTGTTATACTTGTTTTGAAGTATTGACAGATGTTATGTTTCTAAAATAGTGTTAAATTCACATGAACTGACTGGTGGGATGAAGTGAGGAAACAAATTCTCTTTGGGCTGGGTTTTGAAAGGCCTGTTCATACTACATTCAGATGAAAAGATAACAATGTTTGTATTGGTTTTGCTGATTTTTTTGGTACCTGTCAGTTGATTATAGGCACAGTGAAACCAGCGCGACTGCACTAATGATTGCTTCAGGGAGAGGCTTTCTGAGTCAAGTAGAACAACTGATCAGTATGGGAGCAAGTATCCACTGCAAATCATCAAATGGCTGGTAAAAACAAACAGATAAACTGAAAGATAGATTTATTTGTCAATATACAAACAAGAAAGAAATTTCTGTAATATCTAAATGAATTCGCTAACTTACCAGACTACTGTAAGCATTAATAGGTTTTGATAGTCTAAACAATTTCTAACTTCTGTTTACCACATTATTTTCAGTAAATTGTAAATTGAATTCTTAATTAAACAGTCTCGAATATGGGATATATACTCTTGGTTTCAATGAGTTTGATTTAACACGCTGGTTAGAAGAATCTTTCTCACTGGGTTGATTGAATTAGATCCAAAATGTTTGGCGATTCTTATTTTAAGAGAGTAACCTATATCAGATGTAAAAATAGTGTATTACAGGTGCAAAGATCTTTGCTGTGTTATATTTGTAAATATGTTGTATCGTGTAAAAGATATTTGTGAATCTGTAAAAATTCAGGGAACTATAGTAAATAATTGTAATATGGAAAGATAAGAATTAGGATTCCAGCAGTCTGATATTTGGTACTACCACTTGAAAAACTTGGGAAACAGTGTGAACTGCATTGTGAGGAGGGTAACTTCTGTAAGACATCAAAAAGCCCAATGTTTTCACACATTTTGGAGAAAAATGTCCAGGGTGTGACTTTGCGGGATGATTTAAAGGAGCTAGTAAAGGGTACTGCAAAAAGGCATGGCTTATCTCTGGACATTGCTGTGTGTTTTTTGAAGGAATGGCACATACTTCCGCCTCGTTTCCTTCCACATGTTTGCATGTGTGAAAACTGGGATTCTTTCTTGGTAAAGAATTCCAGTTATCTAAAAATGACATAGCTATTACACCTGTTTATGCACTTAAAATGGGAAGTGCAGATCCAACAATAACAGCACGGATTAAACAGGATAATGCAGAATATTGATAGAAAAGTGCGGTGACAGTTGTCTCCTCACATAATGCGCTGTTTCAGGATGGCTTTGGACTGGGCTAAGCGCTTTGGACAGACAGAGGTTGTTGACCTGTTGGAGTCCTACAGGTAAGCTGTAACTACTTTGCAGAAACGGTTGTATAAAATGGTGAAGGGAAATTTATATTTTGTCTTCTTTTAATCAGAATAGGTTTTAGCTTTTTATGATTTAAAATCTGGCCTAAATAGCAGGATTTATTTGATTATGTTTGCACAACTCCTAGGATAAATACAGTTCTAGCGTTTATCATCTTGATGTGGACATTCCTATCATGATTATATATCTAGGCAGAATGTGATTATAGTAACTTAAATAAATATGCAGAGGAGATGCTGATTCTATACAATGTACCATTTTAATTTCAGATGCTTATTGTGGAAACGAATCTGTTGTGTGTTTTTATCTGTGTGTTTATTGTTGATACGTGATAGCCATATTAAAGAAACTTTATATTACTAACATGTACACTAGGCCATTCAAGAATTGTTTTTTGGTTAGCTTACAATTGTTATAGTTTATTTGCAGTTTTGTAGAGACCTATATTATTATAATTTCTCTTAGTATAGTTTCTGTTAGTGTAGTGCCTGCTTAACTGTTATGGTAGGGAAGTTTTTTGAAAATAAATTTCTTTTAAATATTATTTTTTCCTTTAACAGATAAACAAATGGTGTCTTTATACTTTGAGTTCTGTCACATTTGCTTATGGTTGTGTTTTAGTGAAGCATAATAAAATTAAAGTTAACGCTAAAAATTGAAGTTGCATGCTTTACTGGGTTAACACTTAAATCAGTGAACAGTAATAGTATTGTGGAGATGCTGTTCTGCTACACTTTAAAATCAAAATTCGAGACAAGTAGTCTTGTTGGTCTAATTTTGAATTGATGGCTGAATGCAAACCCGAAGTAACCAACCTTGACTATGTCTTGTGTATTTTTACATTTTAGTGCTTCAGTGGAATTTGGAAATCTGGATGAAAGTTCCCTGGTCCAAACAAGTGGTAGTGACCTTAGTGCAGAGGACAGAGAACTGTTGAAAGCTTATCATCACAGTTTTGATGATGAAAAAGTGGATCTGGACCTGATTATGCACTTACTTTATAACATCTGTCATAGTTGTGATGCTGGTAGGTATATAGACACGCTCCCAATAAACTGCTGTGGATTCAGCTTCTGATGAATTGTGCTCTTTTCTCAGTAATACCAAATAGGTAAAACCTTCCGAGTGCTAGTATACGCAGTACTGACATATATTTGAAGTGCATTTTCTATTTAACTCTGCAAACCAACTTCTTTTTTAGGAGCGATTTTAATATTTCTTCCTGGATATGATGAGATAGTTAGCCTGAGGGACCGTATTCTTTTTGATGACAAGAGATTTGCTGATAATGCTCACAGGTAAAACCTCTAGTTTCTATGGTTGTCTTGAGTTTTTATTGTTTCTTTTAAAGGTCCTTAAAATGTGCCCTTTGTCTTGCATTAGATACCAAGTTTTCATGCTTCATTCAAATATGCAGACTTTGGATCAGAAGAAGGTGCTTAAAAATCCGCCTTCTGGCGTCCGCAAAATAGCAAGTATCAGAGGACTTCGTCAGATATTATATTGATGTATTTTGTCTTTGCTTTTACAGTTATTATAGTTGTTTTTTTTTTAATTGCAGATTCTGTCTACTAATATTGCAGAAACCAGCATAACAGTCAATGATGTTGTATTTGTTATTGACTCAGGCAAGATGAAAGAGGTATGATTGGCTTAAACTTTCTTTGGGAAGCAAACTTCCTAGTGTTATTTTAAAATACATAATACATAAATTTTGGAGAACTTTTTGTTTTTAATAGTAGGCTGAGAGCTAGTGCATGTCAAGCAACAAAACTCACTGAGAAGTTTTGACATCCATTTGTTTTATGACAAATACTGTAAATAGCTAGCTGTTTAAAAACCTGTAAAAGCTATTGCAGGTTGATATATTGATTATATCTCTGTTTGTTTTTTTTTTTTAAATTTGGTATTTCTGTTTGATTTTTAAAACAAGTTTGTCAGTTTGGACCGCCGTCTTCCTGAGACTTAGAGAACATTGGGAGTTCCCTTTGTCCTACTATTGTATCTAGCCCAAGTCTAATCCATTAAGTTTTTAAGCACTGTTTTTCATGTGTTGAATGCCCATTCCCTAATTACTTGCTCAAGAAAAGTGAGTTAACATAATGAGGCAGTTTAAGACCTGTATATGGCTTAGAAAATAAAATTGGATTTCATAGGAGATATGCATACAAATTTCTGAAGTTCTTACGGTAATACAATTTTTTTGTAATTTTGCATCAAATGTAGGAAAATAAGGACATAATTTCCAAGTGAGACAAAGAAGAAAACTTTATTGAATATAATAACATAATAACATATTTTTGCTTGGTTTGTGGTACCACAAAACACAATCCATGTCTTTTATTGACTTACAATTATCTATTGACTACAAAACTTTAATTTAGAAAACTGTGTAGCACAAAGATCCTGCGAAGGATGTAGCATAAATTCACTTGAAAATAAGTACTTTAGAACATACCTTTGTGCCAGAAGCTGCTGGTGCTTATTATTATTACTTTTTTTTGTTTAGAGAACTTCTGTTGATGATCTAAATCATTAGAAACTTCTATTTCTTGTACCCTATTCAATCTTGTTTTTATGTTCCTTGCTTTGCTTTTATAGAAGTCTTTTGATGCACTGAGTTGTGTTACAATGCTAAAAATGGTGTGGATTTCAAAAGCCAGTGCTATCCAGAGAAAAGGCAGGTAATAAATGCTTCATACTGAATTTTGTTTTGCAGATATCCACCATCCTGTATGTTAAGGATAAAGCACACAACATAATAGCAGCCACAGTGGGTAATGTTACTAGCCTAGTCCAATATCGTGTTGGACAATGGCCAGTACTAATTCTGTGCAGAAGAGTAAGGTTCAGCATGTATTTCCTTGGATTCATTTCCCAAAAGTGACACTCAGGAATTTCCCAAACCTTACATTAGATCTAGGTTGTTTTCCCCCCATGAGCTGGCTCTCCTTCCTCTTTCTCCCATGTAGCACCAGCAGCCACAGTGTTCAGTAAGGTGTTTCACAACTTATCTGTGGGCAAAGGGCTGCCTATTGCTAGTTTTTAATATATGTCCCTATATTAGAAGAGACATTGAGCAGTGATTCCTTATTCACCTTCTCCAAACTATGCATGACTTAACAGGCCTTTATCATATTCTTCCCAACACTGGGTGAGGGCTAAAAGGATATGTAGCAACAAATGCCTATGTTTGGTGATATGACATTGGCATTAACCTGCAGGAATTTGAGCGTGAATGAGCATCTGCCATCTCTGTCTCCTCACTCACAAGTTATTCGATCTTCATTCTACCTTTTACTCCCAGAGTAACTTCCAACTGTTTGGGGGTTGTGAAGAGGAAGAAATGAAGTTTATGACATATTCCTTACAGCAAAGGACAGTTGAGATTTGGATTGATCTTAGGTTAGCAAAAAACCCACATCACTTTATTTTTAGATAGGCCTTATTTTTGTTTCTCCAGATCTTTCAGTGTTGGGGTAAAATTATAGTAACGAATTTCTATACTATCAAAAATAATCCATGTACTGGAAAAGTCTCACCTCATGTGTGGGACTTAACGACAAAATTATCTTTTTCTTAGACCTACTTCTACATTTCTATTCTAAGTTTGTGTGTGTGTTGTTTGTTTGGTTTTTTGGTGTTTGTTGTTGTTGTTGTTGGGTTTGTTTTTTTTTTTTTAAAGAAATTCTGATTTTCAACAACTTCCCGTATTTTATTTTCAAGGGCTGGGCGCTGTCAGCCTGGAGTCTGTTTTCGTCTCTTCAGCAGACTCCGATTTCAGAATATGTTGGAATTTCAGACTCCAGAACTTCTAAGAATGCCACTTCAGGTGCATGTTCAGTTGGAAATTACAACTTTTAAAAAATGTATTATTATCAAACTATACTGTGAACTCCAAACAAGTGTGTATTTGTGGTTTTTTCTCTCCCAATCTTAACAATCTTTTTTTGCTTTTTAACTTACAGGAGCTTTGTTTACACACAAAACTTCTGGCTCCAATTAATTGTCCAATTGTTGACTTTCTTATGAAAGCTCCCGATCCTCCACCAGCTTTAATTGTGAGAAATGCTGTGCAAATACTGAAGGTCAGCAGAGGATTAGATTTAGATGGGAATTGTATTTGATTCTATATTTGTGGTGTGGCAACATATCTTGCTGAGTTTTGTTTGTGCTGAGATGTTGTTTAGTTACTTAAGGATGCTTTGAGTTTCTGTGTGTTGTTCATTTCATTTTGTGTGTGTGGATGTATTTTTCCATGTTAAGGGAAGAGAGTGCTTAAAATTCTCTCCTCTCAAACTCTTAAAAGTTTGACTTGCTTTCTTAGTGTTTGGGAACAAGTCTAGTTAATGTCCAGTATTCACATCCTTTCTGCTTTTACTGTAAATTAATTTTGTCCACTTCCCCCCTTCCTGCCTTTTTTTTTTTTTCTTTTTAAAAAAAAAACCCCAGACAATAGATGCCATGGACCCTTGGGAAGATCTCACTGAACTTGGTTATCATCTCACTGAATTACCAGTAGAACCACACCTTGGTAAAATGGTGTTGTGTGCTGTTGTCCTGAAGTGCCTGGATCCTATTCTTACTATTGCTTGCACTCTTGCATATCGAGACCCTTTTGTCTTACCTACACTGGCCTCTCAAAAGCGTGCAGCCATGCTGTGTAGAAAACGTTTTACTGCAGGAACATTTAGTGACCATATGGCGCTTCTCCGGGCTTTCCAGGTATTATTTCATCTTCAGAAAGAGTACTAATCATGATAGATCACATATCAAAGTAAATGATGTACCAATCAAGTTGGATGTAGAATGATAGACTATAGTTAAGTCCTTACAGAAGAAACTTTATTTTTGCCTAGTGGCTTTCCTGTATATTGGACTCATAAATTTGTGAGAGAACACTTTTTATCAGATTTTTTTGTTTATATTTTCAAACCTGGTTGAATTCTAAATGTTCCAACAAGGTGCCACTTTATATCCTGCTACACTGATAAGTTAAAATAATGATCCTAACGTTATGATCTTTATCATAACTTAATATAATGATCTTACAATAACTTAACATAATGTTAATTTAGGGAATGGGTAAAGAGAATCTAGTACTTAACCAGAAAAAAAAAAAATTGGTTTGATACATTTCCATTCTTTCAGAATAGTTTTTGCCTTTGTTTTATTGACGTAGATGTCATTCTTTAAAAGAAGTGCATTTCTTTTATTTTAGCTAATCAAATTAATAGGCAAATGTAAAAAAATATTCTTTACAGGCATGGCAGAAGGCACGCAGTGATGGCTGGGAGAGAGCCTTCTGTGAAAAGAACTTCCTGTCTCAAGCCACAATGGAAATCATCATAGGAATGAGAACACAGCTTCTTGGCCAGCTTAGAGCCTCAGGTAAATAGCTTGGAAAAGTTTTAACATAGTTTTGGAGTCAAGTGTATACCTAGTACAAGTGTATACAAATTGTAACAAGAATAGTGTTCACTGGTGTCATTTTCCTTCCTTAATTTGAAACACACCAGTAACACATTCGTGCTGGGCGTGGTGCAGATGCTAGCGTGAGGAAGTGTGGCTAGGGAACAGCTGATGTAAGTCAAAGCGCCCTGATTGTTCCACACGCCACTGGCTTTCAATGTGAGATATGTTTCCTTGGATTTTTACGTTCTAATAAATTATTTCCGTAAGAAATGTCTTTGTATTGTAAAAAGTAATTCTATTCTATGTTAGTATAAAACCCCTTACCAGGAAGGATTTCAGTATAATGGTTTCTTCTTGGTGCTGTTAAGGTTGGCAGTGGTGAAAAATGCAACAAATTTGTAGTTTATTTCACTTTTTTTTTTTCCAAATTCCTTTTGAGAAGCAAAAAAGTAGATCTTAAGTACAAGCAAATATAACACCTTTTCGTCCTCTTTCTTCAGGTTTTGTTAGAGCCAGAGGAGGAGCCGATATTAGAGATGTTAATACTAACTCTGAAAACTGGGCTGTAGTTAAAGCTGCCTTAGTGGCTGGGATGTATCCCAATCTAGTGCATGTAGACAGAGAAAGCCTGGTTTTGACTGGACCAAAGGAGAAGAAAGTGCGATTTCATCCTACCTCTGTTCTTAGTCAACCTCAGTATAAAAAGGTAAAATCATTTTGAATTTATAGTTCACAAAAAAGAGCACTATATTCTATCAGACATTTTAGAAATGTCTCTTCGTAGTTGTCAGTACTTTAAAAGCAACATGTGCAATAAACACTACATTTTTTGAAAATATTTTTCCTGGCAGTTGATAAAATAAAGAACTGGAGTTGGTTTACTTTTCCAATATTATTTCATCAAAACTTACTCCACTTAGTCCTTCTTCTAGATGGAATGAGACAAAATGGTAGAAAAACCTAGTTTCAAATGAGACTTTTAAAGATGTAACAATCCCTGCTCATAATAGCAGGAATAAATTCTGCTCTGAAAATGATTTACTTTTTTTTTAAGATCCATTTTTAAAGGAAAATATTTTGTTTCAAGATGGTAGGGTAATTTGTGAGTCTGGTTGCATTCTCTCTCGCTTTTTTTTATTTGTGTGTATAAGTTATGTGTATATAAATATTTATGTATTTATTTCTACATATATAAAGTAAGAAATGTGTTAAAATTTATTTTAATTACAAATAGAGGGTAAAATAGCCTACTCTTCCCTGCTCTTGCACAGATTCCCCCAGCAAATGGGCAAGCTGCAGCCATTCAGGCACTCCCTACAGACTGGCTTATATATGATGAAATGACGAGAGCCCACAGGATAGCAAATATCAGATGCTGTTCTGTTGTAACACCTGTCACTGTGTCACTCTTCTGTGGACCAGCTAGATTACCAAGTAATGCTTTGCAGGAACCTTCATCTTTTCGAGGTATAGTGGGGTTTGGATTTGGAATGTTTCCATTGGTATATACTAGTATGTGATATGGAAGGCTTATTTTTCAAGAGTATTTAATAAGTATATTGGCTAATTCTTAAAATGATAGCACGATAGTTCCTGTAGCTATTCAAGAATAGCTTATAGGCTCTATAATAAATGTCTCAGCTTTGCGAATCCTTACAGATTCGTATCCATAAATTACACTTACATAGTTCTGAAGTCTCAGAAATTGCAGTGTCGTTTGTAATGAAATAAAAAATGCAAACAAAATTTCTAATGACAATACTAATGCTGAAAAGTGTAGTATATATGTTTCTTCTACAAACTAGTTTATTTGATACTTCGAACCAGATTATTCAAAGTGAATAATAATTTAGAAACTATCAACATGGCAAATACTCATATTGCTTCCAGTCAAAACATGCATTTTAAATATTATTTTCTACTGATAACTTTTAATGACAATTAATTATACTACTAACTAGAAGTAGTAGGGAATATATAGAAATTTCCTTGTTTTTTTCTTTAAATGGAGTGCTGTAGGAATAGAAGCAAAAATAATCTATCCTGCTGCCAGTTCTCTAGAAATCATAGAATCATAGAATCATT